GCTGTTGGTTTCTGCTTTTGAATGTATTGTAAATCTTTTCATGCTAAATAAGAAGAAAACATGGAGTATACACCTGCCCACACACACATACTGTTTTTATTATTATTCAGCAGATGCATTTATTAAAACAAAGAGACTGATATATATTCAGTATTACATTATTCTTATTATTATTTGTGTATGTATTATTTTAATGGTTTAAGCTGAAATAATTTAAAGTATTAAAGTAGTATTTAGGCTAAAGTTGATCATCCATCCATCCATTTTCTTCTGCTTATCTGGAGCAGGGACAGCAGCCTAAGCAGAGAAGCCCAGACCTCTCAGTCCCTGGTCACCTCCTCCAGCTTGTCCAGGGGAACACCCAGGCATTCCGAGACCAACCGAGAGATATGATCTCTCCAGTCCTGGGTCTTCCCCGGGGCCTCCTCCCGGTGGGACATGCCCAGAAGACCTCACCCAGGAGGCGCCCAGGAGGCATCTTTGTCAGATGCCCGAACCACCTCAACTGGCTTCTTTAGATGTGGAGGAGCAGCGGCTCTACTCTGAGCCCGTCCTGGATGGCCAAACTCCTCACCCTATCTCTAAGGGAAAGTCAATCTCCCACTCACCTCACTCGTGAGCAAGACCCTGAGATACCAAGGTATCTGAGGTTTGACTAACAGACAGACTCTCCTTTCCAGCATGCTGGCATAGACTTTCCCGGGGAGGCTGAAGAGTGTAATTCCCCCATAGTTATAACATCCCCCTCCTCAAATATGGGAACCATCACCCTGGTCTGCCAATCCAAAGGTACCGTTTCTGATCTCCTCACAACATTGCAGAGGCGTGTCAACCAATACAGCATTACAACATCCAGAGCACTCAGTCTTCCCAAAAGAATGTAACTCCCCTGGCAGTTCAGAGTTTTATATGAGAATGTGCAATATCTAACCGATTAAAACTGGTGGGGAGAAGCTGCTTGTTTTGTAGGCACTGAGCTAAGAGGTGGCTGTGACTGACATCAGGTGCAAGTTTTCGTGTCTACAGCTGCCCATGCACATTTCTTTATACTGGTATAGCTGCAGGTTTCTAAGTAATTATTCAATCAGTAAGAAACTAAAGTTTCTATTAATTCCAAATTAAAATCAAACCCAACACTCTCCAAACTCCGACCATATCAGAGTTTTTGCTTTAGCCTTTGCCTAAGCTGCGTTCCACTTGACCTGTTGGTAATTATTGGCTGCCTCCGAAGTCCCACAGGCTAACCAAGCCCGATAGGACTCTTTCTTCAGCTTGAAGGTTCCCTTAAAATCTGGTGTCCAACATCTGGTTCGGGTATTACCACCATGGCAGGCACCAACCACCTTGCAGCCGCAGCTCAATCCAGCAGCTTTAGCAATGGAGGTGCTGAACATGGTCTATTCAGACTTAATATCCCCCAGTCTCCCTTGGAATGCTGCCAAAGCTTTACCGGAGGTGGGAGTATGCTGCAATAGGCATAGGCTACTGGGGGACTCCCATGATGCATTGAGTTTTTCCTTTCCAGTCACCTATCTCACTCACTATGTGCTAATACACCTCTCTGCATTGAATCGTACCTGATATTAATCTCTGTCTCTCTTCCACAGCATGTCTTTATCCTGTTTTCCTTCTCTCACCCTAACCAGTCGCCACCTCTCCTTGAGCCTGGTTCTGCCGGAGGTCTCTTCCCGTTAAAGGCGAGTTTTTCCTTCCCACTGTTGCCACGATCTTGATCGTGGCTCAAGAGTTGGCAGTTCGTCTTGCAATTGGAAGGTTGCTGGTTCAAGCCCCGGCTCCAACAGTCGTTGTGTCCTTGGGCAAGACACTTCACCCGTTGCCTACTGGTCGCGCCAGTGTCGGGCAGCCTCGTCTCTGTCAGTGCGCTCCAGGGCAGCTGTGGCTACAATGTAGCTTGCCATCACCAGTGTGTGGATGACTGAATGTAGTGTAAAGTGCTTTGGGGTCCTTAGGGACTAAGTAAAGCGCTATACAAATACAGGCCATTTACCATTTACCATGCCAAAGTGCTTGCTCATAGGGGGTCATATGATTGTTGGGTTTTTCCTCTGTATCTATTATTGTAGGATCTACTGTACAATATAAAGCACCTTGAGGCGACTATTGTTGTGATTTGGTGCTATATAAATAAAATTGAATTGAATTGAATTGAATTGAATTAGAGATCTAGCCCATACCTCTCAACCTCACACACCAAGTCAGGCTCCTTCCCCACCAGATAGGTGACATTCCAATTCGCTAGTCTTGGTAGCCGGGGATTGGTATGCCAGGGTCTCCACCCCTGGCCACCGCCCAAAACACATTGCACCCGGCCCCTACAGTTTCCCCTGTGTATGGTGGGCCTAGAGGAGTATGGGCCCATGCCCCCTTTTCAGGCTGTGCCCGGCCAGACCCAATGGACTAAGGCCTGGCCACCAGATGCTTGCCCTCAGGCACCCTTTGTGGGCTCCAGGGTGGGGCCCCAGTAACCCTGGATTACCCTGGCAGGGGTAGCTGTTCCCTAGTTCTTGCACACACAGGGGTTTTTGAATCTCTCTGTCTGGTCCTACATCCAGGGCCAATTTACCATGGGAGACCATATTAGGGGATAAAAAGCCCCAAAATACATAGCCCCTGGGATCCCTGGGACACTCAAACCCCTTCACCATGATAAGGTGAATGCAATAAAATTAATTACCTCTCAATTTTGTAGCTATGATAATGTGGAAAAAAAAGAGAGAGCGAGAGAGATGCCAGAAGGTCAACAAGCGTAATGGTGGTCTAAGGAGCTTGGAAAGAAAAGCGTCTATACTTCTTTAAGTTGCTTGAAGACGTTTCACCTCTCATCCAAGAAGTTTCTTCAGTTCTAGGGTCAAATGGAGGAGAGTCCCAGATTTAAGCCCTGTGGGAGTATTCCCCCAACGAGGGACAATGGACCCCCTAATGATCCTCTACCTAATCACATGTTAACTTTGACAACACTAACATCTAATTTAAAAACAGTAACAAAGTATTTGTATGTCTACTTCAGGTTTAGTGAAATTCCGGTCTGAAAAGTTCTTCACCCATTTTTCCTGTCTGTCCTCAGGTGTGTGTTCTTCTCTGAGGAGTGAATGTTTTTGATAGCAAAGTGGCTGTGCCATGGGCTCCCCGGTGTCACCTATTGTAGCCAACCTTTACATGGAGGAAGTGGAAAGAAAGGCTCTTGGCTCTTTTAAAGGGAAAGTACCTAACGACTGGTACAGATATGTAGACAACGCCTGGGTCAAAATCAAAACAGAAGAAGTCAAATCCTTCACTGCTCACATTAACACTGTGGATAAAAACATCAAGTTCACCAGGGAAGACACAAAGGACAACTGGTTGCCTTTCCTGGACTGTTTTGTGTGCATTGAAGAGAGTGGAAACCTCAACAATGAAGTTTACCGGCAGCTCACACACATGGACCAGTACCTCCTCTTTGACTCCCACCACCTTCTGGAACACAAAATTGGAGTAATCAGGACCCTACAAAACCGGGCAGAAAATGTTTCCTCTAAGCTGAAGGGAAAAGAAGGAACACACACATGTAAAGGAAGCACTTAAAACATCCTAATTGGGCTTTCAGCAAGTCAGCAAAGAGGCACAGAAATAAAGATCAGACACCAGCTAGGGAGGATAAGAAAAACAAATGCAACAACATTGTCATCCCCTATGTAGCTGGTGTATCAGAAAAACTCAGGAGGGTTTTCTCCAAGCACGACATCCCAGTTTACTTCAGACCCAGCAACACGCTCAGACAGAAACTGGTTCATCCCAAAGACAAAACTCCTAAACACAAACTTAATAATGTAGTGTATACTGTACAGTGTAGCGAGGAATGCCCAGACATCTACATTGGAGAGACCAAACAGCCACTTCATAAACGCATGGCACAACATAGAAGAGCCACCTCCACAGGACAAGACTCGGCTGTCCATCTGCATCTAAAGTACAAAGGTCACTCTTTCGAGAATGCCAATGTACACATTTTGGACAAAGAAGACAGATGGTTTGAAAGAGGGGTAAAAGAAGCCATTTATGTCGACTGTGAGCGACCATCTTTGAACAGAGGCGGTGGCTTACGACACCAACTGTCTGCCATCTATAATCCAGTTTTGAGATCCCCTCCCAGACGCCTTAACGCCCACTCACATCCTGGGCCATCTGACCTCAGGAAATCACATGATAGGGTGGTACCAGGTTTCACAATGAGCTCACCCGAAACCTTGGCTGATTGTGACCAACACCTGTTTTCACACCTTGGCTCAGGCGATTAGGTAGAGGATCATTAGGGGGTCCATTGTCCCTCATGGGGGGGGGACACTCACACAGGGCTTAAATCTGGGACCATTTGACCCTAGAACGGAAGAAGCTTCTCAGATGAGAGGTGAAACATATTCAAGAAACTTAAAGAAGTCCAGACACTTTTCTTTCCAAGCTCCTTAGACTACGATGACCTGGATGACTGAGAACCTTCACAGACAAGAGTAATAGTGTTTAACCTGTTGGATTGTTTCATTTCCTGTAAGTCATTTGAATGCCAAGAATTTAGCTGATGTATTGCCTCGGGTGAATGTGAAATGTCATTTTCTTTTTCTTATATGAGAGAGTCTTTCCAGCTCCGTGACAATACAGTTCTTTCTTTTTTACTGTCACCATGTCTTGTGCACCTTCTGATTTTCACATAAAGATCACAAAAATATTTTTTAACAAAAATATAGTATTGGGAATCAAAACTCATATCATGTTATCATGTATTTATAATGTGTGATCAAAATGCTAATTTTTTTGTTTTTAAGTAATAAAGCATTATTTTTCAGAGCTCCAAAATCACAAATATGTTTGTGTTCATAGCATGCTGTTTCTCAGCATCCATGCTTTATGTGTTAAAAAACAAAACAAAAACTGTCGCGTGTAGGTCACATGACCTGGGACAAAGAATAAAAGTGCTGTTGCCTGAACAGTCACAGGACATCCTCAGATGATACCCTCACCATCTCCATCTCTTGACACATTCACTGCTGAGGTTTAAACAGGTAATCTGATGTTTTTTATTTAAAAAATATTTAACACATATTTTAAATCAAATCAAAGAATGAATCTTATATTATTTACAGTAAACTTATGAATGATCCTGCTGATTTTTTGCCACCTCAGGCTGAACAAATTAATTTAATAAATTTATCTAAATTACTGATTGTGTGTGAAGTAACATAACTAGCAGAAACACATTAAATGTTGGTACTACGCAACCAATGCCAAACATCATTTTGATTTGTTAGCACAGGTAAATAAATATAAATATAAATATAAATAAATATCACAAATGTAGCTTTTTGAGCTGTTGATCTAATGAAACAAGCCTTTCAATGGAATGATGGACCCTTTCAACATGGAATGCAGTATTCTGAGTATATATAAGATAAGATAAGATAAGATAAGATAAGATAAAACTTTATTAATCCCTCGGGTGGGTTCCTCTGGGAAATTCGGTTTCCAATTGCACAGCGCCGACAGAAGTTACAGAACGTAAGCAGAATATTATATACATACACATATATCAATACAGAGACATATATAAATAAAATATATAAAAGGGATAAATAGAATAAATAGAAATAAGAATACAAGGGAATTGCACATTTCAAGTATTGAAGTCTATTGCACCGTTGACTATTAACAAAACGTATTGCACAGTGAAGTGAAGAGGCACTTGTTCCCCCTTCCTTTGTCCTCCTGTTTCCCCTCCCTCTCCCCTCCAGAGAGGAGTTAAACAGTCTGATGGCGTGTGGGACAAAAGAGTTTAAGTCTGTTGGTTCTTGTCTTTGGGAAAAGCAACCTGTCACTGAACAGACTCCTCTGGTTGTTGATGGCCGTGTGCAGAGGATGCCCAGCAGTTTCTTTAGTGTCCTTTTCTCTGCCACTGTCACCAGAGTGTCCAGTTTCATGCCGACCACAGAGCTAGCCTTCCTGATCAGTTTCTCCAGCCTGGATGAGTCCTTCTTTGCTGTGCTGCTCCCCCAGCACACCACAGCATAGAAAAGTACTCCAGCAACCACTGACTGGTAAAACATCCTCAGGAGCTTCCTGCAGATGTTAAAAGACCTCAGCCTCCTGAGGAAGTACAGTCAGCTTTGGGCTTTTTTATACAGGTGCTCTGTGTTGCATGACCAGTGCAGTTTGTTGTCCACCCACAGCCCGAGGTACTTGTACTTGTTGACCACCTCCACCTCCTCCCCCTCTATCTGAACCGGCAGTGGACCTTCTCTGGACCTCCCGAAGTCCACAACCAGTTCCTTGGTCTTTGAGGTGTTGAGTTGCAGGTGGTTTGTGTGACTCCATGTGACGAAGTTCCTCACCAGACTTCTGTACTCCTCTTCCTGATTATCCCAGATACACCCTATGATGGCTGTGTCATCTGCAAACTTCTGAATATGGCATAATTCAGAGATGTAGCAGAAGTCAGAGGTGTACAGGGTGAAGAGAAGAGGGGACAGCACAGTTCCCGGTGGTGCTCCTGTGCTGCTGACCACAGTGTCAGACATGATGTCCTTCAGCCTGACGTACTGTGGTCTGTCAGTTGTTAGTGATTGTTAAAAAACAAACAAACAAAAAACCAGCGGCATATTAATAAAGTTCTATCTTATCTTATCTTAGCCGGGTCATATCTACTTAAGAGAGATGAATGATTAAAAAAAAACCAAATAAAACAAAAATAGTATTTCTTGCATTTTCTTTTTGATACATTATATTACAGCTTAAAATAAAGCAACTGTTCTCCCTTCTCCCAGCCATGCTCTCCTTTTCAACTCCCACCACTCTCTACCTGAGCCTCCTCCTCCTCTTTCTGTTGTGCCTCTCCCCTGCTCTTTCTTGTCAGACTGGGACTCAGAGCCAGTGTATGTCTGCTCCCTTTGTGCCTGGTTATGACCTGGCAGGGGAGGGCTTTGATGTTGTTACACTTAAGCGAAAAGGAGCTTATGTGATTGATGTGAAGACCTACCTCACTCCAAGCAAAACCTGTACACTCTGCACCAACCCTCATAAAGGCGGCCAACTGCAGAAAGTAACTAAATATTATAGTAATTAATAAAAAACATGTCAAAAATTACTTTGGCATACCATTAACATGCTAAACCTGTTATTAATTATATTTCCAGCTACCAGTCTCTACTTTGGACTGGCGTACATTCAACCGCTGCAGTTTTCGTCTCGAGGACAGTGAACACACCTCCATCAGGTATTCTAGGACTTAGAAACATAATCACTCATTGTGCCCTGACAGGTTTCATACATTACTTTACATATTCATAGATGTCATCCCACCCACATGGCATACATTAATTAATTTTATCAAACAATCATTTAATAATTGCAAATCATTTTTTCCTACTGGAATATTTTGGGGAATTAAGCAAAATAATTTCTCTACAGTTCACTGGTCAGCACATACACCGACCAGAGCAGCATCGACTGGAAGGTAGGAAACATTCATGTTGAGTGAAACATGGATATAATGTTACTATTACTGCAAACTGTTGATCTAGTCCTGTAATCATTCCTAGCTCCATGTTTTAAAAAGTCCTATGACTGAGCATTGTAAGGACATTATTTAAAGAAAAGAAGAGAAGAGAAATACAGTAACAAGGCATATAAACATCATACAGTGTGGAACCCCTCTGTTTATTGAGGAAAATCATCCCACTTTTGCTTTAATATGTAGCTCTAGGTAAGAAAGAATTGCCTGCAATAACATACACACACACCACGCACAGTAATACACAGTAACAGAAGGTTGTGAGAACAGTGTCTATGTATAACCTATAAAAGTAACGAGAAGGTGTTCTAACTTGTAGAAGGATCTTAAAAAAGAAACATTTCGTTCTCCCAAAAATCCCGTTTCCTTGTCAGGTGTTTCTCAAGAGTCCTTAGAGTGAGACTAGTACTTCTCCTAGTTTTTTTTTTTTATAACAATCAATAATTTAAATGCTATGACTATAATTCCCTCGAAGCAAGGCAGACGCAAGTGGTTTTCCGTCACTGGTTTATTTGAAGACTTCTCTCCAACGTCACCGTGAAAACTACACACCATTAACAAAATAAAAACTCAATGTAAGACACAGCACCTAAAATAACACTGTACAACAAAACGAGATATATCAATAAATACCTCGTTGGCTGCATGCTGCAAAAAGGGAATTAGTCACCATTCTTCTGAAGTTTCCTTATAAGTGTGTATTTAAAGCCCATTCCACTTAGTGTGACTTTCACTAAAGAACGGCCTCATTCTTGCTCCGCACTTAGTTTTCTCCTTTTTTCTCCCAAAAAGGAAACAGCGCGACTTGTAAGCAAGCTTGACTTTCAAAATAAAAGCACAATAAGTTTAACTACATAAAATAGCATAGCATAAATAATGTAAAGCTTAAACAATTTACAACGATGACATGGACCTTGAGAAGATAAAGAAATAATTCAAATGATATAAACAATGTCATCATGCCAACAACAACATGACCATGCATTGTTTGGACATGGACAATAAGCTGGTCTAAGCTGGCACTACTTCCAAGAACTTTGCAACTTGTTCTCCAATGTGAGCCTTTCTCTTCTTTTTGTAAATATTCCTCTTGACTATATATTTCTCCTGTTTGTTATTTATTCCTGCTGTCTTATTACAGTGTTTCTCAAATGCTAAAACACATGTCACACAGCAAATTCAAAAGTGTTAAATGTTTTGGTGTTAATAGTCTTCTTGCAAAAGTAGAGTTAATTTTACTCTAAGCAGAGTCACATTCTTTTAATGTAACTCTGAGGTGTAAAATGATAGTAGTTAAAATCGAGTGTTAAAAATGAGTGTTTCTATTTCAAATCTGGAGGTGTTACAATGGAAACATTAACTCTTGACCTCTTAACTCTGAACTCCTAGAGGGGCTATGACACCAATAGAGTAAATTCACAGACTCCGCCCCCAGCATGGCTCCAATCGAAGCTGAAGTGAAGCCGTTTCAGAACATTTTGCACTACATATTTGAGTTGTTTGCCATGCTTGGTAAGTCATTTTTTCAAAGATTGTTTCAATTATTATTATGAGCTTTTACTTCTGTGGCTCTTTGGATTTGAGACAAAGCTGTGTGAAAGGCATTAGCCATGTTGCTCGGTGATAGCATAACATTCTGCTTTAGCTAGCTGAAAGGTATTGTTTGCAGGCAAATACCACAGCCTTGAAAAAAAGCTTGCATGTGAATTTTCAGTCAAACTTTTGGTCAAATACACCTAAAACAATGTGTAGAATGTGAAATGTTGGTATAATGGTGCTACTTGAAGCCTGAAAACGATCGCCCATAAAAAACAAAAACAAAAACAAAACAAAACACGAGCAAACAGCAGTAGCTGACGTCCTGACTGGGTTCTACGTTAGCATTTAGATCCCTCCAGAGTTTTGTGCACACGGTTTAAGTAAAAATGAAAAAGGTTGAGGTTTTACATTTAGTTCAGTATTACCTGTTGCCTGCGTCCTTGTCTTTTGGGAAAATACTTTACACAAGTAATGGCTCAAAAAGGATTCCTTTTTTTTCTCTTTTTTTTTTTTTACTGTGCTGCAATTGTTTACTGGATTATTTGTGCCATTAATTAGTGTCAACTAATTTTTATTCAATCTCCGCACAGGATATGCTTGTGAAGATGGAATATGGGGGAGAGCAGAAGTGCGTTGAAGTTCCACAAAGGGATGAATGAAGGACATACATATTGTATTGAAGAAATAAGTGATGAGAATGCTGTTATTTGCATTTACCATGTCAGACCTTTTGATAAACAAAATTCTAATGAAAGTGAGAACATGTATACTGTTACATCTTTCAGAAAATGTTTTGAAATTGTGCTGCACAGTTCAGAATAAATGTTTTTCAAAAACCATTGCATCTTTTTAGTAAATGTTTATTTCCAAAAGAAATTTCTAGAAGTTCAGAACAGTAAAATTCCCTCTTTTTAGAATGAATTAGAAGATAACTCTTACGTAGTTAAACTAAAATACTCTTTGAGAGTTAATATATAAACTCTTAACACCAAGTGTTAAATTATCAACTCCAGACAGATTTGGTGTTTAACACTAAATCAGAGTTAACGTACCAACTCTCCAAAAAGTGTTAAATTAACACTCTCTGGTGTGGACCCATATAGACACTTTAATAGCGTTGAAATCAAATCCGACAGTGTTAATTTGGACATGCTGGATTTGCTGTGCACAAACGTTACCACCAGGGGCCTGTTCTTCGTACCTCGCTAAGTAAGTTAGCTCGATTAGATTGTTGACGATTTCGCGTGATCCTGGATCGTTCGGTTCCCCGAAGCTCATCCGGGACTTGCTGTCATAGCAACAGAGCCGTAAGCGTAAACCTGCTCGGGAGCAGGTTTACTTTATGTAAACAGGATTAGATCGCGGCCACGCAGGTATGTCCGCTTCATTTATACGAAAGCAACAGCGATATTCCACCACTGTTTCACCATAAATAAATAACATCAATGTAACTAAAGATAATGCAGCACTTGATCCTTTTATTGATGTCACACAGATACATACAGGTCATTTCCTAAAAAAGGGAAATGTACTATTAACATTCTATTACATGTATGTGATTATTACAGATGTAATTCATATTTCAGAGTAGTAATTGTAAATTACTTCGTGTAATCAAGATGAGAGACCACGGCTATAAAAGCGAAGGTGGATTTGGGAAGCCTGTCGCAGCCATGTCCTGTCCGTATACGCGACCAACCCATTGCGGAAGGTGCAAGATTGATAAGGAGAGTCCTCAGAATTCAGCGTATATTGCGGGATAGACAGGATCCTTTAGCTCAGCGCGACAGTGTGCTCATTGAGAGATATCGATATTCCCGTGAGGGTATTATTTACTTAACCAACTTGTTGACGAGGGGGTGCAGGACCACCACCTGTCTTTTTTTCCTCTGCCCTTTTCTTGGTTGCTGTTATGAACAAACTAACAGAGTATTACAGGCCAGTATTACCTTGCCAAGAGACGAAAAGCAATCTAAGAGATAAATATTACCATTCTGTAGAATACTCCTGTATTCCACTTTTACTTGTTCCCATGTTCTTGTGGGTCCTGTTGTGGCTCTAATGTGAAAGGGGATATAATATAACATATTATAATATAATATAATGCCATATGATATTGGACAATATAGTGTCATATGATAGATCTACCCTACCGCCTACTGGTGTTGGCCAGAGGGGCCGATGGCGCGATATGGCAGCCTGGCTACAACCGTAGCTGCCTCCACCAGTGTGTGAATGTGGGAGTGAATGAATAGTGGTATCGTAAAGCGCTTTGGGTGCCTTGGAAAGCGCTATATGAACCCAATCCATTATTATTAGTTGTATTATTAAATTACCTACGAGTTTGATTTGTCAGCAACTTTCTGCCAGCCCTCTCTCCTTGCTTCTGCAGCCTTTGCAGTTTTCTCTTGCGTTTTAATTAAACTCTGAAACTCCTGAAATCCCTCACTCATGAGTTCTTGCTCTGCTGCCGGAAAATACCGAGCACGCCCCTTCGACATTTTCGCCGACCAATCAGCGGGTTGCCGATCAATGTTTCTACTATCGATGCGTAGCCCCTTTTACGACACCCAGTGATGTCACATTACTGCGTCCAGCTGTACTAATTGTCAACAGCAGGTGTGTTCGGGGAACCGGATTAGCGAGCTCACGGTTAGCGCGATGGTTTGGTCTTGGATGTGTCATTTGATCTTGGATGTAGTAAGCGACGTACGAAGAACAGGCCCCAGGTCCCCCAATGTCCAAACACAACACCCTTCTCTAAAGCTACATAAACACAACCACACCTTCCCACTGCAAAACTCAAACTCCCACACCAAGAAAGCAGCTCGAAGCTGTCAAAACTGTAAACACTATACACAGCATTACACACTACAGAAAAACAATTGAAAACACAATGCTCAATTTGTGAGAAGGTTCTTTGGTTCATAACTGCCAATGCATATTTTTATAAACTGTACAGTAACGGATCATCATAGAACCCTGCAGAGGATTAGGCATTTAGATTTGTGAGTTTCACATGAAGACTATAAATCTATAAAAACATATTGCATGTACGTACACTACTGTAACACAACTCAATGCAAAAACAGAATCTATCGCACACAACAGTACTCTCGGAAACATGATCAGGGTGTGAAGTCTTTTTTATTGTCTACACGGTCTTTTTACAGTATTACACACAGTCACTGTGCGGCATCATGTCGCCGAGCTGCATTGGGCCACATCACCTCATCCACATCACAGGCTATATTGTCCCTTGCTAGGCACCGCGGGAAAAACGCCCTGGAATGGCGAATCCATCCCTGGAAGGCCTCCACTGGGATGTCAGCACAGGCCAGCTCCATTGCCCGTACGAGGTTCTCTCTTGTGTATGGCTGTCTGTCATACACCTTCCATCTCCATGATGAGAAGAACTCCTCTATAGGGTTCAGGAAAGGGGAGTAGGGTGGCAGACAGACGTTTAAAAAGTGGTCACTGTTGGTGGTGAACCACTCTCTGATTTGGTGTGTTTTGTGGAAGCGGACGTTGTCCCAAATGATCACATACATGTGATGTGCTAGCCTAGGATGGTGTTGTTGACGGTCCAGGAGGATGTCTTTTAGCTCCTCTAGGAAGGTGAGGAGACGTTGTTTGTTGTAAGACCCAAGGACAGCATGCCGGTGGACAAGCCCCTCCGTACCCATAGCTGCACAAAGAGTAATATTACCCCCCCGTTGGCCAGGAACCTCAGTGATGGCTCTTTGGCCAATGATGTTACGGCCTCTTCGCCTTCGTTTCTGGAGGTTGAAGCCAGCCTCATCCAGGAAGAGGTACTCATGGGGTCTGGCCATCGCGTCCAACTGCATTATCCTCTGTGAACATGGAAAAGCGTACAGGTGTTCAGAACGGTCAATCAGGTAGCACAGTATTGTCCAGAAGTAATGTAGGCCACTAAGCAACACAGTATGTCCACTAACTGTACTGTGGACATGGATGTATACGTACTTGCACATACTCGTAACGTTGTTCTATGTGTCGCGCAGAGTTGCGCTCAAAGGGAACCCTGTAGACCTGTTTCATCCTCATCTGTTGGCGCCGGAGAACTCGGTCTATTGTGGACACGCTGACAGCATCAATGTTCTCAAAGTTTACATTATCTGCAATGACTTTGTCTCTGATCTCTCGGAGTCTAATGCAGTTGTTCTCACGGACCATATCTGCAATGAGGGTTTCTTGTGCCGCTGTGAATATGGCAACCCTCCCACCTCTATGTGGCATTCTTTCAGCTCTAAAGAAAGAAACATGTGTTGTCAATTGACTGATTTATATGTAAAACTACATGTAAAGTAACAGACCACTTTCACAGGCCTGTAAAACTGTAGTGTGACAAAGAAAGCAATAGCGTACTATACCTGTTGTGTTGTCTAAATGCCTTGATAATGGTGGCCACGGTGAACCTACTCAGGTTTGGATGTACTCTTCGTCCCGCTTCAGCCATTGTCATGCCATGGACAATGACATAATCAATTACTGTTGCTCGCATATCATCTGTTATGATGGTGCGAGGTTGTCTTCTTCTCCCACCTGGACCTTCTCCTCTCTCTTGTTGGCCTCCTTCTCTTCCTCCTCTACTCCGAACTCCTCTTCTTCTTAGGCCTTCACCTCTTCCTCCTCTGATCTCAACCCCTCTTCCTCTTTGGCCTGCAGCTCTTCTCCTTCCGCACGCTCGAATGCCTTCATCCATTGTGATTGTTTGGCATCTTCACCAAACTATGCTTTTATAGGTGGGGTCACATCATTAGCAACAGGTGTCTTCAATTTTGAGTCGTTGTGTGTAGTGACTGATGCCAGGTGTGTTCCCTGTGTTCAAAGATTGGTGACTGTGGCAAGCATTTTGCATCACATGGGCTTTCATTTGTGAATATGAGCAGAGTTGTTTTGCAACATGTGTTTTAGCAAGGACAAATGTGTTTAGATTTATGAGTACAGAGGGTTGTGTTTTGTGAATTGTGTCTTCATGTGACATGTGTTTATGGTACTGGAATATGGTGGCTACATTTAGTAAATGTGTTTAGACTACTGGTCATTTGGGTTACAGGATTGGCTTTTGTGTTTTAACATTTGAGAAAAACTGTATTTATATTTTATTTGTGCACAGTTGGTGTGGAGCACACACAATTTCATTGTACATTCTACAATGACAATAAAGGACTACACACCCATTGCTCAACAACTTGTTAATTACAAGTCAGTCACTGAGTGTCTGGTTTACAATCAGCACACTTCAAAATGAGACTTCATAAACCAACATATGACATCACAATAGCTACATGCATCTTTTATACTCTCTATGGTAACAAGCTTTTTAGCTGCTTTCAATTAAAGGTACTTTTAAGGCCTATTGCAAATAAAAGTTGAACAACAGGTGAATTGTCATCTTAATTCAATGTGGTCCTTTAATTCACTCACTAACAATCACACTTCAATCAAAATATAAATCACGTAGCTCATGCCTTCATTTCTCTTAGGTTGGACTGGATATTGAGAAGCTTGGCAACCTGGAGTTTGGAGGAACAAGATCTACAGCATACAACTTTGCTGTAACCAAGAAGAGAGAGGATCGCTACACCTTCAGCACACATATAATCACCTGTAAACATTATAGGTAGAGTTTAAAGACTACTACAACATCTAATTTTTTAAATTTAAGTTTGATGTCTATTAATCTGTATTTTTTTTGTGTGTTTAGTTACCGTGTGTCCAACAGCCCTCCTCTCAGTGCTGAGTTCAGTAAAGATGTGGCCAGACTCCCAGCTACCTACAGCAATGCAACCAAAGCCCAGTACAGACACTTCATAGACACATACGGCACACATTATATTCGCCAGGTGATAAAATTAATATACACATCCCTTTAATTTTTTTTATACCATTCAGAAGTCATTAAACCCATCCATCCATCCATCCATCCATCCATCCATCTTCATCCGCTTTATCCGGGGCCGGGTCGCGGGGGCAGCAGCCTAAGCAAAGAGGCCCAGACCTCCCTCTCCCCAGCCACCTCCTCCAGCTTATCCGGGGGAATACCAAGGCGTTCCCAGGCCAGCCGAGAGATATAATCTCTCCAGCGTATCCTGGGTCTGCCCCGGGGCCTCCTCCCGGTGGGACATGCCTGGAACACCTCACCCAGGAGGCGCCCAGGGGGCATCCTTGTCAGATGCCCGAACCACCTCAGCTGGCTCCTTTCGATGTGGAGCAGCAGCTGCTCTACTCTGAGCCCCTCCAGGATTGCCGAACTTCTCACCCTATCTCTAAGGGAGAGGCCAGCCACCCTTCGGAGGAAGCTCATTTCTGCTGCTTGTATCCGCGATCTCGTTCTTTCGGTCACTACCCACAGCTCGTGGCCATAGGTGAGGGTAGGGACGTAGATCGACTGGTAAATTGAGAGCTTCGCTTTTACACTCAGCTCCCTCTTCACCACGATGGACCGGTGCAGCGTCTGCATTACTGCAGCTGCAGCCCCAATCCGTCTGTCGATCTCCGGCTCCCTTCTCCCATCACTCGCGAGCAAGACCCCGAGATACTTGAACTCCTCCACTTGGGGCAGGAACTCATCCCCGACCCGGAGTGGGCACTCCACCCTTTTCCGGCTGAGAACCATGGCCTCAGATTTGGAGGTGCTGATCCTCATTCCCGCTGCTTCACACTCGGCTGCGAACCCTTCCAGTGCGAGCTGGAGGCCCTCACCCGATGAAGCCAACAGAACCACATCATCTGCAAAAATCAGAGATGAGATTCTGAGGCCACCAAAGCGAAAGCCCTCCGCCACTTGGCTGTGCCTAGAAATCCTGTCCATAAAAATTATGAACAGAGCCGGAGACAAAGGGCAGCCCTGGCGGAGCCCATCACCCACCGGGAACGAGTCTGACTTATTGCCGGCAATGCGAACCAAGCTCTTGCAACGGTTGTATAGGGATCAAATGGCCCGTAGCAATGGGCCAGACACCCCATACTCCCGCAACACCTCCCACAGGACACCCCGAGGGACACGGTCGAATGCCTTCTCCAAGTCCACAAAACACATGTAGACTGGTTGGGCAAACTCCCATGCACCCTCAAGTATCCTGGAGAGGATAAAGAGCTGGTCCAGTGTTCCGCGACCAGGACGAAAACCGCATTGTTCCTCCTGTATCCGAGGTTCGACTAGCGGACGAACTCTCCTTTCCAGCACCCTGGCATAGACTTTCCCAGGGAGGCTGAGGAGTGTGATCACCCTGTAGTTGGAACACACCCTCCGGTCCCCCTTCTTAAAGATGGGGACCACCACCCTGGTCTGCCAGTCCAAGGGTACTGCCCCAGATCTCCATGCAACATTGTAGAGGCGTGTCAACCAGAACAGCCCTACAACGTCCAGAGCCTTCAGGAACTCGGGGCGGACCTCATCAACACCAGGGGCTCTGCCACCAAGGAGTTGTTTAACTGCCTCAGTGACCTCGCCCCCGGAAATTGGCGGGTCATTCCCCTCATCCCCAGACTCTGCTTCCTCCTCGGAAGACGTGTCAGTGGGATTAAGGAGGTCCTCGAAGTATCCCTTCCACCGCCTGACAATTTTCTCAGTCGACGTCAGCAGCGCTCCGCCAGCACTATACACAGTGCAGGTAGAGCACCGCTTTCCCCTCCTGAGACGCCTGACGGTTTGCCAGAATCTCTTCGAGGCAGTCCGAAAGTCTTTTTCCATGGCCTCTCCGAACTCCTCCCACACCCGAGTTTTTGCTTCAGCCACTGCCCGAGCCGCATTCCGCTTGGCCTGTCGATACCTGTCGGCTGCCTCCGGAGTCCCACAGGCTAACCAAGCCCGATAGGACTCCTTCTTCAGCCTGGTGGCTCCCTTCACCTCTGGTGTCCACCATTTGGTTCGGGGATTACCACCACGGCAGGCACCAACCACCTTGTGGCCGCAGCTCAATGCAGCAGCTTCGGCAATGGAGACGCTGAACATGGTCCATTCGGACTCAATGTCCCCAGTCTCCCTCGGAATGCTGTTGAAGCTCTGCCGGAGGTGTGCGTTGAAGATCTCGCGGACTGGGGCCTCTGCTAGACGTTCCCAGCACACCCTCACTACGCGTTTAGGTGCACCAGGTCTGTCCAGCGTCCTCCCCCGCCACCTGATCCAACTCACCACCAGGTGGTGATCAGTTGACAGCTCAGCCCCTCTCTTTACCCGAGTGTCCAGAACATATGGTCGGAGGTCTGCTGATACGATTACAAAATCGATCATCGACCTACGGCCTAGAGCGTCCTGGTGCCACGTGCACTTATGGACACTCTTATGTTCGAACAGGGTGTTAGTTATGGCCAAACTGTGATTAGCACAGAAGTCCAATAACAAAGCACCGCTCGGGTTCAGATCAGGGAGGCCGTTCCTCCCAATCACGCCCCTCGAGGTCTCGCTGTCGTTACCCACGTGAGCATTGAAGTCTCCCAGCAGGACAACAGAGTCTCCAGGCGGAGCACCCTCCAGCACCCCCCCCCCCCCCCCCCCCCAGGGACTCTAAGAAGGCTGGGTACTCTGAACTGCCACTCGGCGCATAAGCGCAGATGACAGTCAGGACCCGTTCCCTGACTCTAAGGCGCAGGGAACAAACCCTCTCGTCCACTGGGAAAAACCCCAACATATCGGCAGCAAGCCGAGGGGATATTAGAATACCCACCCCAGCCCGCCGCCTCTCACCAGGGGCAACTCCAGACTGAGACAGAGTCCAGCCCCTCTCCAGGAGACTGGTCCAGAGCCCAAGCCATGCGTAGAGGTGAGCCCGACTATATCTAGCCGGTACCTCTCAACCTCACGCACTAACTCAGGCTCCTTCCCCACCAGAGAGGTGACATTCCATGTCCCTATTGCCAGTCTTGGCAGCCGGGGGTCAGTCCGCCAGGGCCTCCGCTCCTGGTCGCCACCCGGCACACAATGCACCCGACCCCTATGGCGCCTCCTGCGGGTGGTGGGCCTGCGGGAGGATGGGCCCATGTCTCCTCTTCGGGCTGTGCCCGGCCGGGCCCCATGGACTAAACCCTTTTTTAAAAATGTTTAATAAATGTTTTTTCAGGTTGATCTTGGAGGGCAGTTCAGGCGAGTCACGTCTACACGTACCTGCTTGTCCAGTCTGAATCATCTTACTTCATCCCAGGTATGTGTAGCACATATATCTGGTTAAAGCAGTGAACATATGTACATACACTTTGTACCAACAAAAGCAATATCCAGTGTTACCTCCTTTCACACAGGTACACGACTGCTTGTCATTGGGTGTCAAGGTAGGCCTGGGGAATGTTAATCTGGGTCCTTCTTTTAACTTATGCGCCTCAGTCCTAAACAACCAAGGTGTCTCTGTTATGTACGCCTCTGGTCTTCACGGTCATTATTCAGAAGTGGTAGGAGGCAGAGGCTGGACTGGGGAGTTTTCACTCACCAGAAATGACTCACTGGGCTACCAGAATTGGCTAAAAACCCTCATAGATCAACCTGATGTGGTTTGCTACTCTCTAAGACCACTGTATGAACTGGTGCAAACGTCAGCACGGAATAAAGGACTAAAGGCTGCAATAGAGCAGTACTTAAAAGACAACAGCATCAGTCGATCAAACACACAGTCGTACTGTAGCAGCAGTGGTCCCAACCTGGATTCCAACTGTTGTCCTAAAGAGATTCAGAAAGGAACACTGAGGATAACAATGATCCAAGCCTCTGGTCTGAAAGGAGATTTTTGGGGCAAGACTGACGGGTGAGTAGTGAACAAGATAAGCTTCAAAGGAAAGCCACTGTAAACATAACAGATGAATCATAGACATTAACACAAGGAGGGATATTATACCCCTTATGTCAAACAGAGTGATTTGTGGCCCCAATAAATGATTTGTGACCCTAGGAAGTAATAAAGGAAGTAATAAAACATATGGTACCCATAAAATTATTATATTCATGAAAATTATGATATTCATAAATTTGTGATATTCATCAAAATATGCTAGTTCATAGTTCATTAATTTTTCCCCAAAAATAAATGATTTCATTATTAAAAAAAAGTTTTTTATATCAAATAGCATCCTTTATTTTTAAGCATAAAAAGTTTTTACTTTTTATGCTTAAAAAACGCCATCTGGTCAGTGTGTGTGTGTGGACTTTCTCAAAAACAGGAGAAAACTGATCAAACAAAAAGGCGGTCCACCCCTACACGCTCTTACATTAACCAACATAGTGACACAGTGAACGGTCTGCCGGTTGGGTTGGGCCGAGGATGAATGACCTGGCAGTCCCTGGCGGTGTCTTCTTATCGCTGCCTCCCGGTCCTTAGCCAATCGGTGCAATCCAGCCACCCTGGATGCACCAATCACGGAGGAGCACCTGCACACTCAAATTTACATATGATAATTACGACAACAGTCGTAACATGTGCTTTTTGTTAAATAAAAAACATGAGAGATAATTCACTTAAAAACATAATAATAATGTTTTATTTTTGGTTTTTGATTACATCAGAAATTTAACCATGTGGGTGATAAGGCAATTGTCTTGCTTTTCTTCTTTTTTTGGCTTAACAATAATATCTTCCTCGGATGATCTGTGGTATTCTCCTGTTTCTCTTGAATCTTTTAGCGCTGCTATTTCCCTTCTGGCTGACAAGTTTCCAATAGTGGACAGGGGTAGCTTTAGGTCCGCCAGAGTTCGTGCAAGTGAACGCCAGCCTGTTGGCTTCACACTTGTCCAAGAGCTTGCTAAAAACTTCATCAAGTCGAGCACGTGACTTCCTGGTATAGGCTTTTCTCTATGCATCAATTCTCCGTCCTCAGTCCATCCGCTGTGACCTTTTGATGCTAATATTCTACGCATTAGATATTCAGTGTTTCTCTTTGAGCGAGGGTTTATGTGGGTTAAAACGGCATGTAAAACCTTATTCACACTTGCCACCTGCTCCCCCTCCTCGCTTTCTTCCTGCTGGTAGTCGCGCTCATCATGTGATCTCTCACTCTGTCCCTCTTCACGCGCAGCGGGGAGCCTTAGTGTTATTTGCTTGCTTTCATCTACTTTTTGTCTCTCTAGTATGAGATACTTTTGTAAAAGCATGTTATACTTTTTTTATTTTCTCATCGGGGTTTAGACCCTGAGTCTCCAATACACGTCTCATTTGACTGTCCAGTTCATCCTCGGCTTTGTCTCTGATGCTTGGTCGAGAAGCATTTGCATGCGTTTCATGTAAGCATTTGATCTGCTCAGGCGAGATCAGATACATTTTCTGCATTTTTATTTGCGAATGGCGCCTATAGCTAAATCAGCTATGATGGGTAAGACTGTTGTGAGTAGTGGTAAGAGGAAGCTGCCTTTTTGAGTCATTACCTTCTTTTTCTTCCTGACACCGTCACGTCTGTTGGCCATTTGTCTGATTTTCTCTTATGTCATTTCAACTTCTTATGTTGGCATTGTGTGATTGGAATATTTCCACACAGCTGTTCTGACGGTAGTATCCCGGATCTCAGTCTGAGTTGCTCTGGAGAGGTGGGGGTTAAACCTATCAATAAATATCCGTGTGGTTCTCTCGTGGCTTCTTCAAAACTCTCCAAGATGAAATGCAGACGTCCTGGACATATTTGTCTAGCTAGTGTATTAACTTGTAATTTATCGTGAGGTTTTTAAATAACACTGTTCAGACTGATCGTCCTGCTGTGTTTACCTTGTAGAAACACATTTTGGCTCAACATCATCACACTCATATTTTTATGGTGTCTGTACTTTGTGAAAATCCGGACCACTTTTGGATGATTTGCTGCTTGAAAAATAACATCATCCAGTACAATGAGATGACTCTGGTGTGAGGGAAACAAGCTCTCATCGTCAAAAGAATCAGGGAGACCTTCAATGAATTTAATGATTTTATTTTTCTCTTGAAGCTCAGAATACAGAGGCTGAAAGGATGTATAAACCCACACAACATTGTCAACAAACTTGTTCGAAACGTACACAGTTTTCCAATACAGATTTCACGAAAAAGGTCTTTCCCCTCTTGGTTGTTCATTTCAGCACAAGTGCGACAGAGAGTAAAGAGAAGCTTGCCTGACTTTGTTTTATAGAGTCCTCTGGGTGGGTATACAACCGCTTTGATAAACCCAAAGTAGTTTTTAGGGTGCTGAAAATTTCGAAAAATTACTTGAGGATGGCCTAAGGGGTAACGACAGGTGCTATTTACAAACGGATACAACGAGGTGACATCCACATAACTAATTTTCTCACCAGGCGCTACACTGCAACGCAACTGTGCTGGGCTTGTACGGCCTCCGAAGAGGGCATGGCGAGGATTCAAAGGCTCTGGTGGATCATAACGTCTGAGGAAGTTGATTACACTCTCATCAGTACGTTTTAACTTGGTCCACTCATGCTGCCAGATTATAACAGGACACACATTATGTTCAGCTCTCAATCTAGCGAGCCTGTCTTGAGCGGCCATGTTACTGTCTGAAAAAGAGGCCCCTAACAGAGGGTTAACATCGGCCTGATTTGAAAAACACGTAACACACCCATGGAAGTAGCAACCCAAAAATTCCCACAGGTATGTTTTACCGTTAATCTGACCATACCCATCCACATAATAACTAGTGAGCTGTTTTTCCCCTTGATTGAGTGCATGTCTGATAAAAACACCTTGTGTGTAAGAGAGATATTCGAGCCATTGAATTGAGGATGAGGAAAATGATTTGACCTGATTATGGTAATTTAGAGGGCACGGTATTGCTAAAGAATTCATTGGCATGAAGTTTGTTAAATAGGTTTTAGGCACGCGCTAGCAAGGGTGTTGCGGCTGAAAGGATCTACTCCTGTCTCTTCAATAAATCCGTTTCTGAACAATGTGCAACCCCGAGCTAGAATTTCAACATCGTTTTCACAGTATAAAAGGGCCTCTTTCATGAAATTGAAGGTGCCGGAGCTGACTGAATCATACCATTTGTAAAATTCTTTCCTGCCCTGTGTTGTCATACGCTCGAGACTATAGGCGGAGGGGGAGGATAAGTAATGTTTGTTTCGAACTGAAACAATGGGGGGAAAGCCTTTAATGCTGTCTGAAAACCCCATTCCTTTTGGGATACCTGACAACGGCATCGGAAGGAAACAGCACGAGTCCATATAGCGCTGGTTTAAGTCTGTGTCTGTAAAGCTGATCAATTTCGAGCCTTGACTGATTAACTTTGGTTTTAAGCTTTGCTTAACCATAGCCCTGAGAATAATGTAAGCATCAAAACTCTTGGCATTATGAGCGATAAAGATAGATAGATAAAGATTTCTGCCAAGGCTGCTAAAGCCTGATTAAGCGCTATAAACGGATCGGATGAGGAAATGTTTTGTGTCAGACTCAGTTGAGAATGAGCCGCGTCTGACTCTGTTTGGATCTCACCATGCTCAACACTCAAACATTGAGAGCTATTTTGCGAGACACTTTCACTAGGCGCTAATCGGGCTAGAGCTAAATTAAGCATTTCTAAAGGGTCATTATTATTATTATTGATCACATCAGGTTGCTCACCGCTTTGTGGAGGTGTATTCTGTGAATGAACAGTATTTTGATTTAACCTAGCTAACGCTAGAAGCAAGAAATGGGTCTGTAATATCATGTTCCTGGTTATCCATTTTTATTGAGTGACAAGAATATCTAAAAGCACAGTTGTTGAAAAAGTAAAGAAAAAAAAACAGCTTTTTATATGATGAGCGAATTAATTCAGCAATGAGACATACTGCTCGAAGAGCGATAGAAGCGAGCTGGTGTCGTCTGCGCTTTGTCCTTGTGCTCCTTATCCTTCTGGTCCTGCTGCTTGTTCTGTTGCTCCTGAGATGTTTAAGTAGACCTAACAATTTGAGGATAACCCCCCCCCCCCCCCCAAAAAAAAAACAGTGAGTTATGTTAAATACAAAAGGATAGTTTTTATAAAATTAGAAAAAAAGTGAGAACATAGAGAGACTGACCGTGTTTAGCTCGCAAAAGCAGGCGCCGTGAATTTCGTCTGCCTGATGGGGGAGAAGAAGCGTTGGTGGGGATGGTGCTCCGGGAGCCAGGAGCGTGAGGACCGACCGCGGAGAGCAAATCTTGGCGGACAGACGAATATTTTTCCCCGAGGGTCGCGGGAGAGAAGAAGCGCCGGTGGGGATGGAGCTGTGGCCGGCAGAAGCGGGACGACCTAGCGCTAAGAACAGATCTCTCCCGATTGGACAGACGGATATTTTTCTCTCAGCGAGAGATCGTAAAAATCGGACCTGTATGCGATTGGCTAACCGGGGTGCAAGGGGAGCCGCTCTTTTGTTATGTCATTGGCAGCGGGGCGAAGTTAGGCACGTCTCGAAGGCGGAGTTGGTCTCCAGCGCAAATTTCGAACGGAGAGCCCGAAATCATTAATAAGGAGCAGATATAGCGAGAGTAACAAGGGAAAAAATTGAGCTGCGGCTCAGTGCGAGGTAGAACTTAGGCTGTGCGCTGAATTTGAGATGGAGCTAGTAAGAGGGCTGGTTTGAAGAAAAAAGACTAAGGATTTTTTCAGGAGTTTTTACCCTGTTATCGAATATAAGTTTTGGGAATAGAGGGTTCCCCCTAACAAGTTATTCCTGGGGGGGTTTTTTGCGCGTGTTTTCGATAAAAATACGGAGGGTTTTTTCTGGAGGTTTCCTGCTTGTTTGCCTAAGGGTTGGGTGGGAGCCGCGGTGAGCTTATGCTTGGGGGGGATAGCGAGAGTTTTATCGAGTTATTCTAGGGGAGGGGGGGGGGGGTTTGCTGTTGTTGTGCGTTTTTGGAGAAAGACGGAGGGTTTTTCAGGAGGTTTTTGCTGGGAGCCGCGGTGCGCTTATGCTTGGGGTGGTTTTTTTGGGGGGATCTCCAGCATTTGTGAATCGGACTTGGATTCTCATTTTCCTTGTTCAGATTAAACAAATGCAAATAAATTGAAATAAAGTTTTCCAATGAGGGATGCAGCCTGTATCTCCCGCCATACTGAACGTTACAAAAACACAAGTTTAACTAAGCACTTTTACTCTGGTTTAACACACACACACAGACGAGCACGGGCCCAGACACAGGCACGCGCACAAGCGCGCACAGACACACACGCACGGGGGGCGCGCGCGTGCGCACACACGCACTGACCCACCACCAGATGGCAGTTTTTAAGCATAAAGAGTAAAAAAAAAATTTAATGGCTTAAAAATGAAGAATGCTATTTGATATAAAAAAAAATCAAATCATTTATTTTTGGGGAAAAAATTAATGAGCTATGAACTAGCATATTTTGATGAATATCACAAATTTATGAATATCATAAATTTTATGAATATAATAATTTTATGGCTACCATATGTTTTATTACTTCCTTTATTACTTCCTAGGGTCACAAATCATTTATTGGGGCCACAAATCACTCTGTTTGACATAAGGGGTATAATATCCCTCCTAATACAGTAATGTTCTTTTTCCACATTTTGCCATTTCACAGATATGTTAAGATCCAGTTTCAATCGCAAAAATTCCAGACCAGTGTGATCGAATCTAACTCCCCCTCCTGGACCACCAATTACATTCTGGAAAATGTCAGTACAAAGCACTTCTATCTCACTTTTATCCACTACAACAAGTAAAACCAAGGACATTTTAAAAAGCTCTTTTTTTTCAAGATTTTGCATAATTATCTTCTCAGATAAAGAAAAGAATCACACTGTTATATCTTTATATTTAAGACAAATAATAATGAAGCACTGGTGAAATGCTATTTTTTCCTTCTGGAGTTTTTTTTCTTTTAAATTATTATTGTAATAAAATGAAACATTACTTTAAATGGGCACAACATACATAATTTTATTTCACTTTGGTTTAACTTTGTCTGACTTTTTTTTAAAAAGGTGGCAACAAGCTCGCCTCTGATGATTGAAGTCTGGGACGAGGATGTGTTCTTTGATGACCACCTGGGATCGTGTGTGAAGTACCTGACTCAAGGTACAAACACAATCAGATGCTCACTTCAAAAAGGCGGCACTGTTGAGGTCCAGTATACTCTGACATGTGACAGACACCTGACTGGATCCACCTGTAACCAATACCAACCATCTTCACAATGAAAACGCATTCTGGCTGGCACACACTATGGAAATGCTGGTAGCTTATCTTTAATCAAGTATCATGTCAGGTTGGGTGATAACATTCTTTATGTGCAATATATAAAGAATAATAATTGGGCACAAAATTAACACATACCATGCACTTAGAGTTACAGCTAATTTGATGTGTCATATAGTCTGAGGCAGACAGTCATCTTGTTTAATCCTCATTTGATTTTGGTGGTGGGTCCACATTCAAATCACTTTGTGTATTCATTAAAGACACTTGTGATTATTTTCTGAATTATGTGTAAAAATGGTCAGGCCTCTTCATAAGTATGATTACAAATGCATTCTTGTGTGTCATTCTTGCAAAAGCCTTCATAACATGCAAATATTTTATGTATATTTTTCAGTTCTTTGATTTGTAACAAGTATATAAAACATTAAGTTTAGCAATGCTTGCATGGGTCATATTTAGGGACTTAATGTATCATTTATAATAATGCTGATTATAAAGAAATAAATGTGAGTTCTGATTAATTGATATTTGGCTCATTAAACCTTTGGTGGTGTTTGAATGGCCGTAAATAACTTTTTTCTTTCTTTTTTTTGTAGACACCAAGACTAGAATAAATAAAAAGGCACCCCCAGGTGCCTTTGGCGGTGCAAAACGTTTCGTCGACATTGTGTTTGTTACAAACATACAGTACAGCACTTCAGAGTCATACTGCTAGCGATCAAAGATTTATGGAAATTTGACAAGCTGGAAGCATTCTGTACTGTACAGGAGACACGGCACGAGATTGATTGACATTGGTCTACAGCCAATCAGGACGCAGTGCACTGTGTCCTGAAATAAAATCCACAAAACAGCGAGGCCGCGAAAGGTGAACCGCGTTATAGCAAGGGACAACTGTAGTTTCAAATCGTATAAATAGCCAAAGCTCTGTTGAAAAGGGTTACTTTTTAGGGTTTAAACCATGATTGTAAAAATGAATATGCTGTACTGAAAAACACTGAATCTGGGAAGTGAGAGAAAAAAACTTATCCAAAAGGTTTACTGAGGTCATCAAGTGAGCAGAAGAATCCCTTCCTCACTGACTTTACAGTTTTTCTGAATTGCTAAAACACTAAATCCCATTGTGAAAACTAAACTGTCAACTATGAAAACTCATTCATCAAATCAATCTCACAGTTGCCAAAATCTTAAACATTATTCATCTGGTTAGGACACCATTTGTAACTCTGAATCTCCCATTTACCAAAACTCTAAACACATTCTCAAACACAAAACACATTTAGCAGTGTGGTGCACTTGTACCCAGAATGGTGCACACAGGCTACAGAAGTTTAACACAACTAACACACTGTTTTCATCATTTACACACTACCACTCAAAATTGAAAACCCATGTTGCAACCTCTTCTTCTGCTATTTGCTAGATTGAATACAGCTTCATCCACGAAGCTGTATTCATGAGGCCTAACCATTGAATCAAGCTCAAAGATTCTCTTTATACAACAAACTAATTTTAGTTCTGTAAATGAAATAGTATGATGTATATATGTGCTATCTATACAAGTATACTTACAGTTTTTTCTGAATGCTTAAACCCTAACTGTGATTCCTGTAGCACAATCTCTAAAACTATTCAGACTTATAGCAAAACCACTCACTGAGTTTGCAAAACTAAAAGCACAAAAACTGCTTTGCACTCAGTTTGCAATTTTGTAACACACACTTTGCAAAACTGTAGGCACAATCCACTGCACAACACTCAATTACCAAATTTCCAACACACTCCTAGCAAAAGTATACACATGTATGGCTATCATTAACACTAATTTGCCAACTGTCTGGCACACTTTCACATGTGAAAACTTTTTTAGATAATTAGTTCACTTTGCAATCAGCCTAAGCACTATAATACAGGTAAGCTGTGTGTGCGGAGTACAATGGAGGGAGCAGAAAGAGTGAGAGGTAGAGGAGGCCGAGGAAGAGGACGTGGAGGTGAAGAAGTAGGATGAAGAGGACGACAAGGACAAGGAGGAGCAAGAGGAAGACAAGGAGGGGGGAGAGGAAGATGAGGAGGGGGGAGAGGAAGGGTAGGAAGAGTAAGAAATAGAATTGCTGATGACATCAGAGCTACAATAGTGGACCATGTAATCAACCGTGGAATGACCCTGAGGGTAGCTGGCCAACGGGTCCAGCCTAACTCGAGCCGCTACACTGTAAATTCAAATTCAAATTTTTATTTGTCACGTACACAGTCATACACAGTACGATATGTAGTGAAATGCTTGGACAACTGCTCGTGACCTAAAGAAAACAAAAAAGGAAAAGGCTATGAATAAGAAAGGAAATAAATATGAAAAATTAAAAAGGGTAAATTTAACTAGGAAGGAATAAAATATAAATTAAGGTTAAAAATGAAATAACTGTACAACACAAATTAGAATGAAGGGTAAATTTAACTGGGAAGAATAAGATAAAGATAAATATATAAATTAAAGTTGAAAATAAAATAACTGTACAACAAAATACACAATACACAATATAGAACTATATAAGAATGTATGAAGAAATCTAAATATAAATAAATATATACACAATAACAGCAGCTGTACAAGTATTAACCGGAAATGAAGAATATAGTGACCAGTGTTGTGCAAAACCAAAGTCCAGAAAGTCCAGTGTGTGTGTAAGAACCATATGTGTGGGTCAGTACTGTGTGGTGGTGTGATTGAGAGACCGTATCGCCTGCGGGAAGAAGCTCCTCCTCAGTCTCTCTGTGTTGGTCTTCAGGGAGCGGAATCGCTTTCCTGACCTCAACAGAGAGAACAGTCTGTTGTTGGGATGGCTGAGGTCCTTCACGATCTTCCTGGCCTTGGTCCAGCACCGCCTGCTGTAGATTGAGTGCAGGTCAGGGAGCTCGGAGCGGATGGTGCGCTCAGCTGACCGCACAACCCTCTGTAGAGCTCGTCTGTCCTGCATGGTGCTGTTCCCGAACCAGGTTAAGATGTTTCCCGCCATTGATGTAAAAATACTGAAATTGTTACTTTACAGAATTGCTAGATGACCAGATGCTGGGGGCAGAGGAAGCATGTTCACTGCAGACCAAGTAACCCATATAGTCATTATGGCGATTGCAAATAATCCTATACTTGGAAATAGACACTTGTGTTCGTTTTGATGTGTTTGAATAAACACCAGTACTTGAAGTTTGGATCCCTCTATGCTTGTGGATCTATGACAGAAGTATGAGCTCAAACTGACATAGCCTACCTTGTGCACAGAGAAAGCAAAAGCCAGATGTGTTTTGTATTCATACCATCAGTGTGCAGTTGGCGCATTGTGTGCTTAGTAGATGATGGCTTGTGTGTACTGTTTGATACGGAAACACCATTTTTACGAAGGTGTGAAGAGTTAATCTAGCTGTGTTTGCTTTTGCAAGAGAACTACAATGTTTTGATGATTGGGTGACAGGTTTTCTTATTTGTGTGAAGAGTTTTGCAAAATTAGCCAATAGTTACAAAAAATGTGCTTAAGCAATCAGAAAAAACTGTAAGTCCTCTGTCTCCCTTTGTTCATTGTCAAGTCATTTCCCATCTCACTGTGTCTCAAAGGTTAGTGTTATCTGTCATGGTCCTGCGGCCATGACTCAGTGACTTTGTGTTTATGTTCTTTATTGTTATTATTCTCTTTATCATTCATGGGCTGTTTTGGGATGGTTTGTGTTTTGGGATTTTAGGTACTGGGTTCTGAGTTTGTGCTCCCTCTATTGGTCCCTGGTGTTAGTGTTCCCCTGTCTCGTCAGGTTAATCAGGTCCAGCTGTGTCTCCCACCTGTGTGTGATTTCCCAGTGTCTCTTTGTGTACTTATAGTGTGTGTTTGCCTCTGTTCCTGGTCGCGTCGTCTGTGTTCATACCTGGTGTAATCCCCTGCGTGCTCTCCCTGCTGTTCTCCCTTCATGCTCAGGTTTGCTATTTCTTTGTGTAGTTTCTCTCAGTTAGTTCATCCTTAGTTCTGTTTTACCATCCCCACTTTATATTGGATATTATCAATAAATCACCCTCACACCTGAATAAGTGCTGCGTTTTGAGTCCTCCTTCCGCTCTCCACACGGCCGCTGCCCCGGACCGTGACAGTACGACGCGACCACAACATGGACCCAGCAGCGCTTAACCCGTCCAAGGAGCTACGGGAGAATCTAATCGATGCCACACAGGAGCTTATTGACCTGTGGCTGGAAAACCCGGGCGGGGAGTCCCAGCGCGCTATAGAGAGGCGGCTACAGCGTCTGGTGACCGGTCTCCCATGGCTTCTAGGCTCGCTATGTCCGTGGGAGCGGGAGTTTCTCCTTTTGGACCTTGGACTACACCCCCCGTCTGCATTCACTTTCGAGCAGCCCGATGCGGTGAGTCAGCGGGATGCATTGCTTTCCCCAGTTTCCGGGACTTTGTTTTCTGGGGCTATTCAGAGCGGGATGGGAGACTGTACGGGTCGCTTACCCACCTTCGTGGTAACAGATCCTTCGCAAGTGGGCGTGTACAAACCCTCTGTAAAACCGAGAGACTGTGTCTCTGCCGCCCCTTCCGAGCCAGGACTTTATCGCCATTCTCCGGCTCAGTTCTGTGTCCAGCCACAAGCCTCCCAGTCTGTAGCTCAACCGCTAGCCTCCCCAAGGACACAATTACCTGTTCTGCCACCGCTCCAGTTAGCCACTCAGCCACCACCACCGCTTGCATCACCGCAACCCGTAGTTCAGTTAATGGCTGAGTCACAATATTCACACTGTTTTTCCACCGCTGTTTCTAAGCAGGGAGATGAACTGTTTTACAACGGACCTGTTCCTCAAAAGCTGGCAACATTAGAGACTGTTGCTCACTCCGGGGCTTCCCCAGAGGCTGGGTTACTGCCCTCAGCTTACTCTGGACCCCTGGAGGCCAAGATGCCAGCTGTGAACTGCACCGGGCTGTCACTGCCTGAGCAGGGTCAGTGCTCTGCGCAGCTGCAGCCCTCCGTACGTGCGCCAGAGGCCCTCGTGCCTACTGGTTTTGTTTCACGTGCGCCAGAGGCCCACGTGCCTCCTAGTTTTGTTTCATGTGTGCCAGAGGCCCACGTGCCTCCTAGTTTTGTTTCATGCGTGCCAGAGGCCCACGTGCCTCCTAGTTTTGTTTCATGCGTGCCAGAGGCCCACGTGCCTCCTAGTTTTGTTTCATGCGTGCCAGAGGCCCACGTGCCTCCTAGTTTTGTTTCGTGTGTGCTGGAGGCCCACGTGCGTACTGGTTTTGTTTTGTGTGTGCCGGAGGCCCACGTGCCCGCTGGTTCTGCGGCTGTTTTCGCTGGGGGGCCCGAGGAGCCCGTCCAGCCTCCTGCTTCGCCTGCTGGGGGCCCCGAGGAGCCCGTCCAGCCTCCTGCTTCGCTAGCTGGGGGGCCCGAGGAGCCCGTCCGGCCTCGTGTGGCTGCTTCTCCACCTGTGGCTGCTTCCCAGATACAGTTTCGTACTCCCTTCTGGCACTGTATGAGCTGATGCCAACTGAGGCAAAAAAGGAGGGGGTAAAGACAGCCATAGAGAAGTACTGATCTGATAACATCATAGGTTCCTCATACAAAGAGAAATTTTGTCAGCACCCCGATAACCTCGCTTCCAACTGCTGTCCTATACAAGCCAGGAGGGGGCTACTGAATGTGACCAAAATTCAAGCCTGGGATCTGTCAGGAGATACTTGGGGTCCGTCTGACAGGTGAGTAAGCTGAGGTCAGGACCTGCAAGTTGACAGTATGTTTTTAAATTCTCAGAATACCAGGACATCTTGAGTTGTTTCCTGAGTCCAAAAGTGATATAAGTCTTAAATCAATTGACACCAAAATGCAGATAGTTTGGTGAGGGTTAATCGAGCCCCAGCTTGTTTCGATGTGGTTCTACAACATGTACAGATCACAGCCTCTTTGAAACCAGGTTAATCAATTTCACCGTTTTTTTCCCCTCATATTTTTAAATCAGATATTATGTCTTTACATGTGACATTATGTTTTTTAATATTTGGAAACCTGCTGCAAAACAAACTGAGGTAGACTAACTGTGTTATTCACAGACTGCATGGAAACATTCTGCAGATTTATCCAGGATAAACAGGTTAGTTTGCTGTAGTGTGATGGGTTTAAGGTAAAGAACGGTGTGACTGCTGCACATTGGCTGGTCAGAGTTAAATTACATAAATTATATCATAAATGAATTTGAACTTAAGCTGATGATACTACGTTTCATTCACTGAGTTACAACTTTAGAGTGTCTAATATAAAGACAGTATAAAAAGTCTACTGTTAGTGCAGAGGATGGAAATCAGTCCGGACAAATCCTGAAACATATGCTGACATCTGGTTGAATTCAGTTGTGTAGATCCACAAAAAGCAGCAGGTCAGCTGATCACAGCCAGTAAACTAAGAAAATCTACTGAAGCTCTCAGTAGAAATCATTGTGAGTTATGATTCTTTTCCCTACTCTGAGCCACTACAATTGATTTTAGCTTTTCCCCACCTGCTGAATCCCACTTTAACACTTTTTTAACACACTGTGTGCACAAATCCAGCTAGATGCAGTTAATTTGATTGACATAAACAAAACATACAGCCAAAGCAACCCAGGAGTTTATTAAAGCAAAGAAGTGGAATATTATTGAATGGCCAAGTCAGTCACCTGATCTTAACCCGACTGAGCATTTCACTTGATGAAGACTAAACTTCAGACAGAACGGCCCACAGAAAAACAACAACTAAAACCTGCTGCAGTAAAGGCCTGGCAGAGCATTAAAAAGGAGGAAACCCAGCATCTAGTGATGTTCATGAGTTCACGGCTGCAAAGGATTTTCAATTAAATTTCAAATTTAATTCACTTAACCCCACTAAGTGCATGTCTTTAGACTGTGGGAGGAAGCCGGAGTATCTGGTATTTCCTTTCATTTTTATCCATGTAGCTTTGTACAAGGATTTTGAGAACTCCAAGAGTTAATACAAAAGCGTACACTGAGGAAAGACGGGCTCCTCAGCAGCGCAGCATCCGCAGGCCACAGCCAGGCTCCACCATCAGCCAGCAGGCCACAGCCAGGCTCCACCATCAGCCAGCAGGCCCAGCCAGCAGGCCCAGCCAGGCTCCACCATCAGCCAGCAGGTCCAGCCAGGCTCCACCATCAGCCAGCAGGCCCAGTCAGCAGGCCCAGCCAGGCTCCACCATCAGCCAGCAGTCCAGCCAGCTCCACCATCAGCCAGCAGGCCAACACCAGCAGGCCACAGCCAGTTCCACCATCAGCCAGCAGGCCCAGCCAGGCTCCACCATCAGCCAGCAAGCCCAGCCAGGCTCCACCATTAGCCAGCAGGTCCAGCCAGGCTCCACCATCAGCCAGCAGGCCACAGCCAGGCTCCACCATCAGCCAGCAGGCCACAGCCAGGCTCCACCATCAGCCAGCAGGCCACAGCCAGGCTCTACCATCAGCCAGCAGGCCCAGCCAGGCTCCACCATCAGCCAGCAGGCCACAGCCAGGCTCCACCATCAGCCAGCAGGCCCAGCCAGCAGGCCACAGCCAGGCTCTTCCATCAGCCAGCAGGCCCAGCCAGCAGGCCACAGCCAGGCTCCACCATCAGCCAGCAGGCCCAGCCAGCAGGCCACAGCCAGGCTCCACCATCAGCCAGCAGGCCCAGCCAGCAGGCCACAGCCAGGCTCCTCCATCAGCCAGCAGGCCTAGCCAGGTGCCATCATCAGAAATTCCGCTTCCGGGTCCCTCGTGGTGGCCGCCTCGTGCTCTCGCTTCAGTATGCCACCCAAGAAAGGCCCAACACCAGAGGAGGTTGAGGACATTAAAACCTCCCTCGGAGCGCTGTGCAGAGACATGGCAGCAGTCAGGGCGCAGCAGGAGCTGCTTCTGGGGCTACTGGAGGAGGTAAAACAGCTACGCCTCCAAAATGCCGAAAAGGACAGACGGATCATGGATCTCGAGCGGCGGGTGGATGAGCTGGAGCAGTACACCCGTACGAACGACGTGGTCATCAGCGGTATTAAAATCAAGCCGTGCTCGTACGCGCACGCAGTGGCCGGGAACGTCGGGGAGCCCAGCGACGAGGAGACCCGCTCGGTGGAGCAACAGGTGGCGTCCTTCCTCCAAAGCAAGGGGATAGAGATGGACCTGGAGCACATAGAAGCATGTCACTCACTGCCCAGGAGGAGTGACAGACCGCCGGCCGTCGTTATGAGATTTGTCAATCGGAAGAACAAGGTCGCACTGCTGAAACAAGGACGCAAACTGAAAGGCACGGATGTTTTCATTAATGAGCATCTGACACGAAAAAACGCAGACATCGCGAGGAAGGCAAGGCAACTGAAGAAGAACGGTAAAATACAACATACATGGGTAACAAACTGTAAGATTTTCATTAAGCTAAACGGGACACCAGAAGAGGCAAAAGTACTGATAGTGAGGAACATGGAGGATCTGGACAAGTACAACTGACACTAATGTATCGAGGTAATATATAACTCTAATGACAATCAAATGATAAATACACCAACATCTCTAATTACACCAGGAAATGACATGGACATGTTGAAATTAATTCTTCAACAGAAAGTAATTGATTTAGATTGTGAATATAAGGAGCATAATATAATAGATCCAGAAATAGATTCTGGAAGTAACTTTCTCTCTACTTTTGTTAAAAATTGTAATTATTTCACTCAGGAACAATATGAAAAAGAAATTAACCTAGACGGGAAGCTCTCATTAATTCACTTTAACAGCAGAAGTATGTACTCTAATTTTGATTTCATTAAGGACTATTTGCAACAATTTTCTCGCCCCTTTAGTATTATAGCCATCACTGAAACTTGGTTCAATGTCGATAAAGGAATAGATTTTTGTTTGAATGGATATGATTTAAAATACATGAATAGATTAAATAAGGCAGGCGGCGGGGTTGCTATATATGTTCATAACTCTATAAAATATAATGTTGTAACAACTATGTCTATGGCTATTGATGGAATTTTGGAATGTTTGACTATTGAGATCATGAATGAAAAAAAGAGAAATGTTATAATAAGTTGCATATATCGGACACCCAGTTCAAGTATTGACACTTTTAATGAATGGATAGAAAAAACGTTTGCTTCGGTGAACCAAAAATTACTATTTATCTGTGGTGACTTTAATATTGATTTGCTAAATCCAACAAGGTTAAAAGCCATTGATGACTTTACTGACACAATGTACAGCTTATCACTATATCCAACAATAACAAAGCCAAGCAGAATAACATCACATAGCGCCACTATTATTGACAATATTTTTACTAATGTCATGGATTTCCAAATTAATAGTGGCCTGCTTGTCTGTGATATAACTGACCACTTACCAGTTTTTACTTTGTGTGACTGTGATTTTAAAAAAATAGATACCAAGATCATGATAGCAAAGCGAACAATAAATGAAGAAGCAATTCATGCCTTCAATTTCGATTTAGCACAACAAGATTGGAGTTCGGTGTATGAAGAGTCAGATGTGGACAAGGCTTATGACAATTTCCTAGATATTTTTACTATGTGGTACAATAAACATTGTCCTGTAAACGAACATATGACAAAGAAAAAAAAGATAAAAAGTCCTTGGCTCACAAAAGGAATTATTAATGCTTGCAAAAAGAAAAACAATCTGTATAAACAGTTTATCAAAGTAAAAACAAAAGAAGTGGAACAAAGATATAAAGCATATAGAAATAAATTGACTGATATTATAAGAACGAGCAAACAACTTTATTATAGAAGAAGATTATATGAAAATAAAAACAATATAAAAGGAACTTGGGATGTGTTATGACGCACGCCACGCCGCGAGTCTGCACGTGCCTGTTGTGACCAATCCTATTCGCGAGGCACTATTATATGCCTTCCGGGTTGTCGCCTCGAAACGACGCGGGGGAGAGGCGTTAGCGGATGGAAGCAACAGGTACGTGGGGTGAGCGCTTTTCGCTGTTTACTATCTTGACTTGTTTTTGAATTAATTGTGGATTGCGTTCAACAGTATTTTGATACCGCCGCGGGTAGATGCGTGGGGCTCGTATGTGACATCGCACGTAGTGAATGGTGAGTTGAGCCTGAATGTTTGTTTGTATTTGTAACCTGTATTAGTATGCCAGTGCTATTAGCTGATGGGATAGCTAAGGGTGAGGCCTACTACATTACTACTACTCTCACTTTACGTGGCTGTAGTTTTGTTATTAGAGATTGTTATTTATTTTAATTTATTACAATGGTTGGATATGTATTTGTTGTATATTGGTATTTTCTCATGAACTTTATTGTGTACACTGGAACTAAAGCTAGCTTGGGAAATTTAGATGAATTTTGCTAATAGTGGTCCTGTGATTATAGTGCAGGCTAGTGGTGCCCTGGAGAGACCACAGCGACACCACTACTTTGGATGGCGAGCTAGGCCCAACGAGCCAGAACCCCAGCTACAACTTCCTGCGGTCTGGTAGGAGGCTGCTGCGGCCTACACTCTCCCCCCCTGGTTTTCAGTCCCCCAAATCTCACTTTCGAGATCTCAGTCTTGGAATCTCAGTTCTGATCATCACACTTCCAATTTCAACCTGTTACAGACTGTCATACGCGTTGGATTTATATCAATCATGAAATAGCAACTTTATGGACATTGTCTGCCGGGGGTTGGAGGAGGTTGCTGCACCACTGTGCAGCGGATACTTTACAAGCTTGAATTATGTTTTATCTTTTCCTGTCTGCAGATTTGTAAATATTGGTATTTGGTAATTGCACTTTATTTTCACTATAAATAATAACTGTAATCACAATATCTGTGGTTGTATGTTTATTGTACTTCACTCACCTCCTAGAGCCGAATCTGATATCTTCTGAATTAGCCCAACTACTCATAACCAACTTAAATTTTTTTAGCTTATGTACTTGCTACATAAGACAAATTAGTGGCGAACCAGCCAGGAGGTTGTGTCAAGTATAATATTGTTGTGTACATTCAGTCTCACTATCTCACCATATTACTATGAACATGGACTTGTTGGAGTCATTAGGTGTTAAAATACCAAACGCGGTATTGGTCAGTGGCGTCCCCGCATATGAGGTTGAGGAGGTTGAAGATTTTCTTCTCCAGTATGGTGCTATTGAACGCTCCGTGCCAATAAACTCACCCGGTTCTGAGTTTAATAATATGCTCGTCGTTGAGTTTAAAACAGGGTCTGCTTTTGATTTATTGGGTCCGATTCTGCCATATACATTTAAGCCCTCAGATAATGAATATCATATAAAAAGCTTGTCTAAAATCTATGCGGCTACTGTCGGGTGCACAAAGACTAAGACTTATTTAGCTGACTTAAAACAAGTAGCAAAATTGTCTGGTCAGGATTTTGCTGAAGTTCTTCAAGAACTAATGACCCAAATAAATGGAGCTGTTTCAGAACTGCACCCAGGAAAACGAAGGGCTCAAGCAGGAATGCACTGCCGCATCTGAACACAAAACGGCTGCCACTCCGGATCAACAAACCCACAACATGGCTATTCCTGTCACTTCTTCAGCTGCCCTACATCCTACAACAACAGAAGGACATTCTATCAGTATGTCTGCAGCTGAGTTAAATCCACCTGAAGTACAGAAGTATGTTGTGGAGCATATAGTAAAGAGCGAAGATGTAAACATACGTTCATCCCATAGGCTGCGCAGGTTTTCTGGGAGACTGCCACACCCACAGCATGAGGTGGACTATGATACATGGCGCTCTGGAGTGGATCTCATCTTAAAGGATCCAGCCATTTCAGAACTGCGAAGATCCAGACACATCCTTGATAGTCTTTTACCACCTGCAGCGGACATAATCAAGCACCTTAACCCCGACCTACCAGCAGAGACTTATATTCAACATCTTGATTCTGCTTATGGAATTGTACAGGACGGGGAAGAACTTTATGCGAAGTTCATGGACACACTGCAAGGCTCGGGTGAGAAACCATCCGGCTACCTACAGCGACTTCAGGTGGCCCTGAGTTTAGCTGTCAAGCGGGGAGGAGTCAAGCAGGGTGAAGTGAACAGGCACCTGCTCAGCCAATTCTGTTGGGGATGTTGGGATAGTAACCTTATCTCTGAGCTCCAGCTGAAGCAGAGAAAATCCAACCCACCTTCTTTTGCAGAACTGTTACTCCTATTAAGAACTGAAGAAGACAGAGAAGCTAGCAAAACTCTGAGAATGAAGCAACATCTGGGAACACCAAGACACAGAGTTGCAGCTCAAGCTCAGTTCGCAGTAGAAGAAGAAAGGGGGGTCTGTGCTGCATTGTCCACTCTCACCCAGCAGATGGCGGAGATGCAAAAGCAACTTGCCGCCTTAACTGCCTCCCAGTCTCACCAGTCCTGTACTCCTGTTCCAAAGCAGCACCAGAAGCAAAGAACGGATACACAGGGGACTATATCACCTAACCCCAAGCCTGGTTTCTGTTTCAGGTGTGGGGAAGATGGACACATTAGACCACAGTGCGAGAACAGACCCAATTCTGCATTGGTCAATGCAAAACGCAAACAGTTCAGTGAAAGGAAACCAAAATGGCAGAAGCGGAATTCATCAACTGGACATTTAAACTAGATACAGTTCCTGTAATGGGACGTACAGGAACTGTGCAGGACCCACATTGTCCCGCAAAGGAGGAAAGGAACAAGGAGGAAATTGTTCACTGTGTAGACCTACACACTTGTCCGAAGGCAACCACAATGTTACCTCATGGGTTAGTTGGGTCAAGATGCACAACAGAGGTGACCCTAGCAGGCCATCCACAGAAATGCCTGCTTGATACAGGATCACAGGTTACTACAATACCTGTATCCTTTTACAACAATCATCTTCATGAACAACAAATTCAACCACTCCATGATCTTTTCCAGGTGGAAGGTGCTGCGGGTCAAACCATTCCATATCTTGGATACATTGAGATTTCCGTCAAGTTCCCCAGAGATCTTGTTGGTGAAGAATATGAAGTAACAACATTGGCTCTAGTTGTTCCGGACGTACACCCTGACGTCCCCGCCACTGTGCTAATTGGGATGAACACCCTGGAACCCCTGTATGAACAGCATCTTAACCAGCATCCGAGCTATCAGCCTAGCACTCATGGGTACAGAGCGGTGTTGAAAACACCCCACTGTTTAGCCAGAGTGTTCTCCTACAGCATCCTGCTTCCACCTTACCTGGGGGTTTGTGCGTCAGCAGTTGTCTCATCAACTTCCCTGTTCTTTCTCCATACAAGGTTCCCGTGGTTATTACAAATGAGTCGGAGCAAGATACCTTCATTCCACCTCACAGTGTCATTGCGGATTTGGAAACCTACCACTCCATCTTGTCTGAACATCGCGTGACCCATCTTCCAGTCAGGAACACTATCACCAGCCTGAATTTTGATTTTGGTGATTCCCCACTGTCACCTGAATGGAGGACGCGAGTCATAGGCAAGCTGAATGACATCTCGGAGGTCTTTTCGCATCATGACTTGGATTTTGGATGTACATCACCTGTCAAACATCATATTCCACTCCATGACAATACACCGTTCAAGCAACGTGCCCGGCCAATCCATCCACAAGATTTTGAAGCTGTCCGCCGTCACCTGCGTGAGCTTCTGGAAGCCGGCATTATAAGGGAATCATCGTCTCCTTTTGCTTCGCCTATCGTGGTGGTCAGGAAGAAGAACGGTGAGGTCCGGCTGTGCATAGACTACCGGAAACTAAACCTTCAAACCATCAAGGATGCATACCCCTTACCTAATTTGGAGGAATCCTTTTCAGCACTCACTGGTTCTAAGTGGTTTTCAGTACTCGACCTGAAGTCCGGTTACTACCAGATCCAGATGGAGGAGGAAGACAAGGCAAAGACTGCTTTTGTGACTCCTCTTGGGTTCTGGGAGTTTAACCAAATGCCTCAAGGTGTCACCAATGCCCCAAGCACATTTCAGCGCTTGATGGAGCGATGCATGGGGGACCTCCACCTAAAGGAAGTGCTCGTTTTCCTTGATGACTTAATCATCTATTCAGACACTCTTGAGGAACACGAACGAAGGCTGCTGAGAGTCCTGAACCGGTTGAAGGAATATGGGCTGAAACTGGCACTGGAGAAATGTCGATTCTTCAAAAAGTCTGTAAAGTACTTGGGTCATATTGTCTCTGAGGAAGGAGTTCAAACAGACCCCGAGAAGATAGAGACCATCAAGACATGGCCGGTTCCACAGACTTTGAAACAATTGAGGTCTTTTCTGGGCTTTGCTGGCTATTACCGCGGTTTATAAAAGACTATTCCGTCATTGCCAAACCACTCAATGACCTGACTCGTGGATATCCTCCGGTTCAAAGATCAAAGACCCTGAAAGCTCGCAAGACATCCACCTACGGGCCAAATCAACCCTTTGGTGAGAGGTGGAATACCAACTGTCAAGTTGCATTTGAGACCCTGATTGAGAAGCTTACAACTGCCCCGGTCCTTGGGTTTGCAGACCCGTCTTGTTCATACATTCTGCACACCGATGCGAGTGTGACCGGACTTGGAGCTGTGTTGTATCAAGAGCAAGAGGAGAAACTCCGGGTCATAGCTTATGCTAGCCGCGGATTGTCGCAGAGTGAGAGCCGTTATGCAGCCCACAAGTTGGAATTCCTCGCCCTTAAGTGGAGTGTGACCGAGAAATTCCAAGATTACCTGTACGGGGCAGATTTTACAGTGGTGATGGACAGTAATCCATTGACCTACGTTTTGACAACAGCTAAACTGGACGCTACTGGACACCGTTGGTTGGCTGCATTGTCAACGTACTCCTTTAAACTTCTGTACAGAGCTGGCAAACAGAATTGTGACGCTGATGCGCTCTCGCGATGACCTTACTCCTGCTCCAATGATGAAGTTTCTAATGACCGTAAAATTAACATTTTTATGTATTAAAATTGCTACTCCCCGTTGTCTAGAATTATAACCGGCTGCAAACACGTTAGGAAACTCAGGTGTTTTAAGTTCATTTAAACCTGTGACAGGTTTGTGAGTTTCTTGTAATAAAACAACATCTGCCTGTAGTTTTTTAAGCTGGTTAAATATTTTTAACCTCTTTCCTCTGGTGCCAGCTCCATTTACATTCCATGTGACAAACCTCAGCATGCCCTTAATTGTGCGTGTATGTCTAATGATGTACGCTGGGTGTTTCGTTTAGACAGGTGGAGAGAATATGGAAACATCCCTTGTTTGTAAATAGAAAGAGAAAAAGAAGTGTGGTGAGAGACTCCATAAGTCTGACTATGTGTGTGAATATTCACTAATATGAACAAGCGTGGCTTGCTTATGTGTCTTGCAAGTCTGTGCGTGCTGTGAGGCTGTTGTGAATGTGCTGCCGTTGAGCTGATGTGTTTGCGTGATCGTGTTGTGAAAATATGGAGAAATAGAGGGTGTTGTTTGTAGGTGAGTGGGGAAGTAGGTGACCACAGCAGTGAAAGACAAGAGAAAGAAAGAAACCACATGAACTGTGAGCGA